GATGGAGCGTAATGTTTTACACAGCAACCCTCTGCCCTCTTTCCAGTCTGATAATCACCAGCTCTCCTTTCGGATTTACCTGCCTACAGCCTCAAGATTTTGCAGGCCGAGTACATGCCCTTGAGGCAGTTCTGGTAAACCTCCTGGAAGCTGCAAGTCAAGCCTTACACGCAGGCACAAAGGAAAATAGAAAGAAAGAAAGAAAGAAAAAAAAAAGAAAACAGAAGAAGGGAAAAAAGGTAGGAAGAAAGGGAAAAGGAAAACTTTTCTCCTGGTGTATTCTATTTTCTTAACCTTATTTTTCTCAGAGCAGCAAGTTCCTCTCAATCTGTAATCTTCAGTGATGCAACGTATGTGTGTGTATATATATGCATGTGGTGGGGTCATAATAGGAGAATTACTTTGCTGTTGTAATTATTCTTATTTTCACTCTGATTATTCTTGGACTAAATGCTTCATTATTTTTTTTTCAAATATTGTTATTTGTGAAATAAGAGAAGGGGAGTTTGGGGAGGTAATAGCAGGAAATCGGGGCATGCCTCAGGTCGTTTCTGAGCCCCACGACTGTCCTACTGACCCACGAAGGGCAAAGAGGAAAAGTGCCACACTTTGGTCCTTCTGATTCGCTTTACAGCCCATCCCTCATTCGTCCAACTCCTGAAGATGCGTAACTGGCTAAGTTTGATGAGCCGCCCTTCACAAGGCAAGAGTGAGAAGGAAACCCAGGAAGATGAGGGAAGCCTACGATGCTCAGGAGCTTCCCCAGGCGCTGACCCCCCTCCACAGCGATAGGAACCCCTGAGACCCCTCTCCAGAGAACCTCAGCTGGGCTCAGAGGGTCCTTGCCAGGGCAAGAGCCGTTCCACCATCCCACTCCGACCAGAAGAAACAGGGGGAAGCCTGATGCTCAAAGGCAGGAGGGAGCGTTTTTGTCTCAGCCTGAACGAGATGGAGTTTTGGGGAGGGCTCTCACTGAGCAATTCCCACAGAAGCAAAAGGGGGTGCAAGACCCTCAGGCACTCCCGTCCTCTGGGGAGATTTTAATAATCTATCGTAATGGACATTGAGGGGTTTTTTACCAACACATTGGAAAAAAATACCAAACTTCTCTTGTTTTGTTGACAGTTTACTCCTCAGTGCCTGTATTTTAACCTGAAGAATTCCAGGGGTTTCTACCTTATTAAGTAAAAGTGTGAATTAATATTTTTAAACTACCATTTGTATTTGTTTCGATGTCTCATGTAAAGCGTTTGGCAGGTTACTTCATTTCACATGAGGAACGTAAGCAAAGCAATTTGTTTCCTGGGCATTCTCTCCTATTCCAGCCGGGTACATTACCTGTAAGGTACCCATGTAACATACGATTCATATATTTTGCCTCTCTGAAAAGCAATTTCCTAATCAAGACTTGCACTTTATGGTGAGATTCTGCCCACTAAAGATTCTATTCAGGAACTGATTGGGGGGTTTTTTTCTGCAAAAAGAAAAAAAAAAATGTTACCAGGACTAAAGTAACTGAAAGCTGAATAAGAGAACCTGTAACTATCCTTTTGAAATGGCACATTATGAAAACTCCTCCTTTATTAGCTGGCTACAAACCAAACAATACTTCAGAAGTGATTTTCAGACAGCACTGCTCTGGCTCTGAGGATGCTCCTCCTGCTTTCTTACTTTCCACGGAACTTACAGCTTCTTCACCCTGGCTCAGCACGGCCGAGGATCTTTCCCTGATCTTGGCTCTCCGCACTTGCAAGCGAGCCCCTTCCTCTACCTCTCCCTGCTCAGGCAGCACCTCCCACCCCCAGCCCCCCCAGAGAGCACCAACCCCGCCTCAGAGCCCCCCACATCCTCCCCACCAGATCTGGGGCTGCCCAAAAGCGGGATCCTGCCTCCCCCCAGCCTCCTCGGCCATCCCCAGGCCTTCACCTCTTCTTCTTCCTCCAAACAGTCCTGGAGGCAGCCGCAGAGAAAACCAGACTGAGGAGCACATTAGGCTGCCGGACTGTTGAGGAGAAAAGTTCTTGCGTGGCCACAGACTTGTCCAAAGGGCTGTCACCTGCCCACGTGCTGCTCCGTGAGCTTTCCCTGCAACGGGAAGCCGACTTACAGTCCGCGCTGTATTCCCAACCTCTGCTTCCAAATCAAAACAAATTTACACAACCGCAGCTAGAAGGTGTGCAGACACTACGCTTCCTGGTTTCCTTTCCTCCATGAGGAGGATTTCCCCTGGGCACCATCACCACTCCTCCCCGTGACACCGAACTGCAGCCCCGCGCGGCTGCGTCCCCAGCCCGCTTCTGCTGAGATGCTGCAGTTTGTCGTTTAAAGGTGTTTTTCAGTATAAAAAGTCAAAGATGATTTGGCTAAACCTGAATCAGAAGAAAGGATTAGGAGGGTAGAGGAATAATAATACATCAATTTAGCAAAGTTCTTGCTGTGAATATAAAAAAGCGTGGCAGTAATCTGCATTGATTGCTTGGAGAAAATTCAGAGTGCACGAGCGCTCCGTTATCTTTATACTGCACCTTTTTTTGTTGTTGTTGTGCTTGTACCAATGCATATTTTACAAAGATTAATATGCTCCCACCAAATCCATACGGTCTTATGAAATCCATGGGGACATCTGTCAATAACCTAATCAGATCTTTTTTTTCTGCGTGTTCTTTGCAAACAGATTAGTAACCAGTGAAGTATTCTCAAGTGAGAGGGTAGAATGAAATGGATGTTTTATTGATGCAGAGAGGAGATCACTGGGAATTCAAGATAGGAAGTTGCAAGATAACATCAGGTTGAGTGCAAGACCTTTTCCCCTGAATTTGGAAACAGCAAGTAGCTAGTGAAAGAGTGCATAAAGGAGAAAGGGATCACTAAAAACTTCATAATTTAAGGAGTTAATAAACGTCTTTGACAAACCTGTTATTCCTCTCATGTTTTCACTGACTTCACAGGAATACATGATGGGAGGTTATGTCTTACATGAAAAGCAGGAAAAGGAAAGGAATGCAGCTTCTTTTTATCAACTAGAAAGAAAGTAGACTGTACCGAACTCAATAATTTATTCCCTCTTTACACCCCCTCTTTGCTTGAAGAAAGCCCTTTATAACTAATTGAATTTAGCAGCTGTATTAGACCATACATCATCCCATATTGTCCTAAGGAACTATTAGAAAGCCAGCTTAAAACAGCATCAAACATAGGTACAGACAGCCTGATGCACAAAGTTTCTGTTGGTACCAATTGCACTTGAGTCAGATGCCGAGCCACCACTGGAAAGCGGTGATGGAGTAAATAAGGATTGGACACAGAAATTTTGAAGATAGTTGAAGGAAAACAGCCAAGAATTTCACAGTATTCATTCTAATAAAGGTCTGCTAAACCCAAAGGGGTTGGGGGTAGTGGCCTACTTTAACGGAAAAAATAGTTTTGGAATAAGCAAAGTCCGCGCCACAGACTTTATCACCCACCACAAAAAACAGGAGGAGTGTGACACATCGGGGAGGCTGGCTTGGAAGTGAGGGCGAAGTGCAGTGGCAGGTAGGAAAAGCGCCTGATAGCCCTCATGAGAGCACTTCATCCAGTACCCGTGTCCTTTATCCCTCCTCTAGAAGAGCTGTGCAGCTTTATGTTGACAAACATTACAGCGAGCCATCTATTTTCAAAACTCTCCCACTATCCAGCACTATTTTTTTGCCAGGACACACAATGGATCACTATTAAAACACTGGCTTAGATCAGTCATTTGCCCGGCTAGGAGGCAGGGCTGTCACCCTCTCTGTCACCGAGACATGTGGGTGAGTGAAAGACAAATAGAACGATGGATTCATGTGGTGCAACGTGATTTTGCTCCGCTTAAAGCAAGCATCTGTATAGGCTAACAAATATCATGCCCTCCTGAATCCTACTTCAAAATCCAAGAGCATAATCCATCAAGGCAATTACCTACATCAAAACCAGCTGTAAATCGAATGCCACAGACCACAAAAGGATGGTTTCACAACAGCCTTGAAGCTCTGGTCCGTTCTCCTGGGCAACACAGATTTCAGGAAAACTGCAAAAAATCCACCACTTGTTCAGCCGAGCCCCCTGACCGTGGTCGCACCCGCACTGTGCCGTCAGGAGAACCACGAACAAGCTCCGGCTGCACCCGGAGCAAATCCAGTCTGTCTGACATCTCGGTCAGCCAAGGGCCAGGTCAGCAGGGTGCGGGGCCTGAGCCGAGGGGAGCCACCGTGCCTTGTGCTTCATCTCCCCTTCTGCCCCTGTTTTGCGGTAGGATTATGAGGAGGTAGAAATTTCTGTGTCAAAGGAGCAACTATCGCGCTAGCGGCGCTTTGCTGTGAAGGCAATGAGTAGGTCTCCTTTGTAGAGAAGTAGTAAGGAATGAGAAGTGAAGAATAAGGAAACTAATGCACTTAGAAAGGGTGGAATAAAGCACTGTTAGAAGAAAACAGCCTCATCTAGTAGTTATCAAAGCTATTGCTACTCTAAGTGTAGGTTAAAAATTGAGAAGTGTGGCCAAGTTGCTCACTTTTAATGGACAAGCTTTGAAAAACTACATAAATAATAGTTGTAAAGCTAAAAAAGTGCCCTCGGTGTCACTTGGACTCTGAAGGCTGCTTTATGCAGGACCCAGGCATTTGAATTCCCAAGGAGTTAGTGCGTCAACCGGTAGTACAAGAAAGGAGAACGGTTGACCCTGCTGGGAAATGACCGGGGCTCATACACACCTCGGGCCCGTCACGTGGTTTGCGCTTGGTGGGAAGTCCGTCGGCAGGTGAGGATCCGGAGGCTGAGCCGATGCATGTTGCACACACTCGGCCCGAGGCCCTGAACGTCGCCAAAAGGACAGTAAAGTCACTCCTGTGAGCGCTCACCGCGGGGCAGCTCCCGCACGTCCTTGTGTGCCTGGGCCCCGCACCAGTAATTTGTGTTTGCCTTCCACCAGGCTGTGCCAGCGTGCTCCTCCAAGTGAAGCCTCAGCCATGAGAAGGAGACACGTTACCGTACAGAACAGTCATCGCCAGAAAAATACACTGGCTGGTTCCTAAAAAAGGGTGCGGGGAAGACCCTCCAGAAATTCCCAGTTCAAACTTCTCCCCTAATCACCAACCCAGTGAGTGCCCCTTTGTTTTTTCAGGTCACTCCCCAATTAGATATTACGTGTTTCCTTCATTCCACAACCTTTAATTCTTTTCCAGTGTTGCAGAATTAAGTGGACAGAATTAATCTTGTCTCCCTATAAAGAACTTGTTGTAATTGCAATGAATGCTTTCATTCTGCCGGTGCCTAAATACGATTTGCAGGGGACGGGGGAGGGCGGGTTGGTGCTAGTCCCGTCATTAAAAACATTCCTGTGGGGATTGTAATGGTGGGAGCAAAAACCCCAAAGCTTTTATATAATAACGAGCACGTGTCTGCACGTGAGCTGCTCCTTTAAGAAGCCTTGGGCTGGTGGGAGAAGAGGGATCCGGGGAAAAGGCAGCCCTACGGCTCTAGCAGAGGGCAGAGGTTAAATCTGTTGGCATTTTTATCACAAGCATGGTCACTGCACACCCTCTCCCTGACGGCTTCACTGAATTAGAGGTGTTTGCCATCGGCACTGCCCTGCTGGTGGAAGGTAAGCCTGGTGCGGGACTTCAGCAGCACTGAGGGTTTTGTCCCTACCAATTCCTGGTGGGAGGGGGAAAGAAAACTGAAGCAGACGGCAGCGTCTGTGGTACCCTGATCCACCCGTGGTGAGTAAATCGGGGCGAGCTGCCGGCTGCGTGCGGGTTGGATCTACTCTCCCTGCAGAGCCGCACGTGGCGGGGAAGCACTTGCTGCTTCACTTTCTTATCGGGACCTTGCGATGTGATTCAGGTTGCTGTTGACTTTAATGGCAATTTCGTCTTCCTCGGGGGAAGGATGTTGAAACAACTGATAATCTCTCAATAAACTCGGGCTGCTTGTTTTGTGGGCTGCGATGGCTCTCTTACAATCAGAGGCGACAGGTCCAGAACAGCCTGGGAGCTGTCAGCACGCGCTCAGGCTGCATTGGGTGCTGCTGTTACTGGCTGATGGGTAAAACCAACGGAGATGTTCTGCCTGAGATTCAAACGCTCTCACAGTGTTAAGAAGCAAAATTTGAGGTAGGAGGTTGAATTTAGCCCGTGTGAGCTTTCCTTAAGGCGTGTGCCACTGCACTGAGAGACCGCAACAAAACTGGATGTGCATCGACCCAGCAGGCAGGGAGGGACGGGCTTGTAACTGGGATTATTTCAGTGTCAGTCCACTGGTGCCTCTGGGGATGCAGGGGGTGTGGGGACCAACAGTGGGGGGGGAAGCTGTGGGCACCATCAGAATGGGATAAAAGCCCATCAGCTCGCCCTGTGAACGTGAAGCACGGGCCAAAGGAGGATGCTCGCCCTCTCCCTGCAGGCAAGCTCGGCTGGAAGGCAGCATCCTATCTGCCTGCAGATCAAAGCTGCAAGAGCTGTGTCAGCTCTTCCCTGGAAGAGACGGGGAGAAGAAAAAACCTTCTACTCCGGCCCATGGGCAAGCTGCAGCCTAAACAGAGAGTTCGGAGTTCAGTCTGGCCAACGGCCATGAAGCCATTTGAGGGGTCTGGTGGGTCCCGGCACGACTTTGTGCTTCACTCCGGGAGGTGGGAAGCAGCGGGACGGGGGCACCGGCGGGTGCTGCCAGGGTCCTGCTGGGGAGCGGCTGCCGTGGCCCCTGCTGGCCCTCGCCTGCCCCCCTGCCTGCCGGGGACCTGCCGTCGTGAAGTCCAAGCAAAGGACCTGCTGGCAACCCTCACCGAAAACTAGATGTGGTCCAACACATTCCTGTTCCGCTAAACACGAGGATTGCCCACACGGTTTTAGGCAGAACGTGCCCAGCGGATCAGCAATAAAACTTTGTCATCTGACTTAGGAGATCAAACTAATTAATTAAAGATTAATTCACGTCTCAGAGGCTCTGAGGGAAAGGCAACGAAGATCTCCTCTCCTTCTGCAGCTTCTAAGTGCAGTTTGCAAAAAAAGTTCTGGGGAAGAGGAAAACCTTGTATTCGCTCGATTAACTGGACACATTTGCTGTTCTAAAAATGAAAACTCAAAGCTATTTTGTTTTAATTGAGCAAGTTCTCCATTTGTATACTCATGCTGGCCTTCAAGAAAGCAGAGTGGGGAGAAGCCTGGAGCTTCCAAAAACATGGGAAAGGTGAAAAAAAAAAGTTGATATAGTAATAACTCTTCAGCTCAGCTCTCAGTATGGTGACGACATACCTCTCCTAAAGGCTTCGCTGCGTTTGGAAGAGTTGGCAGCAGTTTCACCCCGCGGGTGGGAGGGAAGCTGGCAGGGAGGAAATAAGAGCAGCAGATCTCAAATGGCTCCAAATATTTCTCCTGGAAATATTTTGCTATATGTTGTGTAATGAAAGACGTGCTTCAGCTGTTACTATGGTTATGCCATCGGCCATTAATGCAATTAAGGTAGGAGCAGGATTTCTGACTGGACAAAACCATCCATCTTATATAACTGCAGAATTAAGACAATCAGCATAAGTAACTACACTACTTTAGAGAATTAGGGAAAATGGATTTTTCTTTTTTTTTTTCTGCACTACGTCATTTCTCTTTCCAAGAAGAACACAAAGAAAAAGACATACTGCCTCTCATCTAACGGAGACTTAGAGATGGGATGTTGAGTCAGAGCCTCATCAGCACTAAAATAATTCAGGTCGTCCTGAAAAGGACATTAAGGGACAAAGCTCGAGTTTAAACCAGTGAAAGTCGGGTTTCAGGGTGGCACAGCTCTGCTGCGTGAATAGCTGGGATTGCTCGGATGCTCCTCTCCGGGGACCAACATTAACTTATTTTTTTAAACCTATCAGAGCTTTTTACAATTAGATTATTCCTCTCTGTGGACAGTCTCCCGACAAAGGGCAGTAATAAGATCAAGCTGGTGTGATTCAAGCATTGCCTAGGTTAACCTTAGAAGCCCAGGGGGAGGCAAGCTGACTGAAACACAGCTGAGGGATTTCTGTGCTTAAACACACGAGAACGTTCCAATTGATACCGAACGCAATCCCTTTCTCTGCCAAAGCGGGCCTGGGGATGTGTGCCCCAGCAGCACGTGCTGCCAGCCCCTCTGAAACTGCCTTCTCGGCCTCTCCCCGCTCTGACCCACGCGTCCCTGCATGGAGCCTGGAAACAGGTTTCCCTGTTAAAACAAAAGGCAGAATCACAAATAAGATTAAACCGTCTCTGTTCTGCATCCCCGATGCAGGTTGACGCACCGGCTTCAGCTGTCACCTGTGACTTCTCTCCCGAAAGCCTTCGTGCCTTGCGTGCGGACTGCGACCGCTGCAGGTGTAATCCCTGCGCACCAGTTCCCGCAGCAATTATCATTCTCTCATTAACGAAAGGAGCAAGTACCATTGTAGATATTTTCCATTTCCAGGCGAATCACACCAAACAATTCTCTGTTTCAGCCCTGCTTGGTTTCTGTCTGAATGGCTTGACAATTATTTCCTTCCGAAAAATCAAATCCCTGCGGACACCCAGCAACCTGCTGGTCCTCAGCATCGCGCTGGCCGACTGCGGGATCTGCGTCAACGCCTTCATCGCTGCCTTCTCCAGCTTCCTCAGGTATGGCTTCTTTTCCTGAGGGATGCTCACAAGAACCACATGAAAATTAACAGCTTAAGGTCTAAGAGGTCAGATTTATTAAATACTCTCTTTCTAGCACATACCGCCTAACCAACCTTCCCATTCTTCCAATCTGAAACAGCAAACTCTCTATAGTTCTACCAGGCAAGTAAAAAATCTGACTCCTGCATGTAATCACTGACAGACTGTAAAACTGATTACAGAACACACTTAACCAGACAGCTATAGTAGAAGCTACTCGAATATTGAAATAGTAGTACGTTTGCACTTGACTCAACCTCTAGATTTACACCAAATTTATCTGTAAGTCTTTCTGGGTTTTTTTTATGAACCTTTCCGTCAAAGCACTTAAGAAGTTTGTGGGAGATGGAAATGCAGATCTGTTATGACACATTTTATTTTCCACGTTTTCGCGTGTCAATGATTTAATCAGAGGACAAAAACAACATCGAGCCTTCCAGTGAATAGTTACAACAAACAAATCACAAGCAAATATACTCAAACCCCCCCACACACACACCCCTGTACACCCTATTAAATAGCTGATTAATAATTCTACCTAAGCAGCAGGTTTTTAAACCCTGGAAATACCTTTAATAGACAATGGAAATGCATTTCAAACCAGAATGCTGGCAAACACCTAAAGGCAACCACAGGAACATCCTTCACAATGTTCCCCAGGCTCAGAGAGCACAGACACAGGCTGCCATTTCAGCCTCCCTGCTAATGCAATTTCCAAACTCGTCTTCACCTTTTTCTACTATTTTCTTCACACATTCCTTGTTTGTTGACAGATACTGGCCCTACGGTTCTGACGGCTGCCAAATTCATGGCTTCCAGGGCTTCCTGACAGCCTTAGCCAGCATTAGCTCCAGCGCCGCGGTCGCCTGGGACCGGTACCATCACTACTGTACAAGTAAGCGTCACAATTTTCCGAGCAGCTTTACCCAGATCCTGATATAAGGCAGCTTGCTCACATGCACATATTTATTACCTGCATATCTTACTGTAAGTTTATTTATCCTCCACACTAGAGATAGAGCAAATGCAAACAGTCTCTGCGAGGACCTCCTGCCCTACAGGGGCAATAACCAACCACCTCCGGATGACACCTCCTCTGCCAGACCGTACCCAAGTTGTGTCCCTCTTGCCATGCTTTCACCTTCCTCGTAAGTCAGCTTCAGTGTCCCAAACAAAATCCGACTCACACTGAAGAAAAATCTGTGCACCGGGGGCGTCCATCCAACCCCCTGCCGCGTACCAGACAGATCCTCACGCTCAGGCAGGGTTTGCTGATGACAGGTGAAGCTGGTGCAGCTGGAGAGCTGCCTCTGCAGAGACGGCAGGTGAGGAGAGCCCACGGCAAAGCTCTTCTGCAGAGGCAGGGTCAGGAGACAGAGCTCAGCGTCCCCGCTGGCCGCACACGGGCACTTCGGGGTGCAAGGGCCGCCCGTGGGGTTTGTGCTACGTTGCACCCCCCTTACAGAGACTGGAACTTGGCACAGTTGTTCCCAAGGAAGGAATAAGTTATCTGCAATTTTCAGTAAAAGCAGAAGAGCTATTTTTAAGTACTGATAAGAGGAGGAATATGTTATTTTTTCTTGTCTTGGTGAAGACCATTTTTTGTTTTTCCTTGCAATTGACTTTTTAGCTGGCTCTGACACAGCTGGGCTTAATGGAAATCTAATATTAAACAGGGAGATCAACACAGGAAAATAAATTTGCCCTTTTTTGTGGACTTATGAAAGAATATTTTTGATTTAGGTGAGAAATAGAGATTGACGGGATTGACAAATATATGGATTTATAGAGATAGATAAGCTCTGTCTTTTACCACAGAACTTCCTCCCAAACTTTGGTGGCACTGGATTTGTGCATTCATGTAACATGAGTGGAAGTTTCTGTTGAATTAGGGTGCTGGGTTGGATTCACCCTCTGCAGACTGCTGGGGTTTGTGCTGGGAGTCCAGCCGTGCTCCAGCCAGCGGGCAGAAGACAGAAAGCAGAGCGAGGGGCATTATCATCTGCTGTAAAACGAACGAGCAGCCTTGTGCGTACTGGAAATGGCAAAACCCACCGTCTGGTGAATATGGGGCACAGGGATGATGCTCGCTCTTGCCTGAGATACTCGTGCTGACGGCCGTGCGGGTCCTTTAACGGGGCCTCACCTCTCCCCAGGCAGCAGCTTAGCACCTCTCCGTCCCTTCTCCAGTTCACTTCTGGGTAGCCAGTGTTTTCACAAGTTATTAGGAAATGGCCGAGTGGCAAACACAGGGTGCACAAACTCATGACCCTCATTAGGAAAAGGGAAAGGCACGCGATCTGAGACACAAACTCACTCTAAAGGACACCCTGGCACGCCCTAGTGCTACCAACGCCCCAGTGCACACCACCTGGCCAGCTGGCAGTCGTGTGGGAGCTGTCACCTGGCAGGAATGGGGGAGGCCGTCCCAAGCAGATCTGCAGGTCCCACGTTCCCCGACAGAACCAGGCTCGCTCCAGGGGACTGAGTTGTCCCAAGAACCTCACGTGACCGTGCCATTCCCCAAAAAAACTGTGTCCCTGCGGCAATGTTGGTAGACAAACACAGCCCTCCTTTTCTTGTGCTAAAGCACAGGTTGCTCAGACCACCTCGCAAAATATTTTCTAAATGAAAGTGTAAATCTGGCTGGGGAAGAACCTGGTGAGCTGCAGCTGCACCGTTAGCATCCACAGCCTGGCACGGCCTCCACAGGATTAAAGCAGCAAGTGCTAAACACACCCTGAGCACGCAGCCGGCGTGTTCACTCTGGTGATGCCAACCTTTTGTTCTGCAAGTTTTGTCAAGAATTCAGCTCAGGCAAGGAAATGATTTCTTTTCATGTCCAGACAGAGGCCCCAAATAATGCAGGCTGTAAGCTAAATCCATACTAACACCCTTCGGATTGTGAAATGTGTTTGGAGCTAGAAGAGAAGCATCTGTATTTTACAAGCGAGAGAGAGCCTGAAAATAAGTGTGTCTTCGGAAAGACGTCTCACTCTCTGCAACATTGACTTTAATGCTTTTGTGTCATGCACTTCTCCAGTCAAGAGCGTACTACACCAAGAGCACAAGCAGAGAGACCCTAAGGGCACAGGCTTCTTTACTTTGCTCCAGTTGTTACTTAGCGATGGCCAAACATTGCTATTACTGAACATCTTGAACCACAAAACAGAACCCAGAAGATTTTAAAAGCTCATGCTCTGTGGCTATTCCAGTAAAACCAGCCACTCTTAGCTTCATCCTCCCCGTGCGGATTGTGAGGAAGCTGAAGCCATGTTCCATAGCCCTGGTACACCAAGCCCACAGACCAGACCGTGTTCTCAAGCCGCACGTTAAATTCCTGTTGATGCTGCTGCAAGCTGCGTGCCTGTACAGAAGGTACGAAACACCTCTGCCTAAAAATCAAAGCTACCAACCCTTTATCTTCATTTCCTGGGAACTGGCACTCCTTCCAGGCTCAGTTACATCATCCACAGTGGTTTCATTATGTCCTAACAGTTTCCCAAGAAAACCTTTGCTGTTGCATTCCTCAGCTTGACACTTGATCACCCACTATCCCTATTTCTCTCAGGAAGAGCTGGTGAGAATGTGAGAGATTACTACAACGATGAGAAAAAGATGGGACTTTTCAGCCATTCTGGATGCTATTAACACAAATATCCTTGCCAACATCCTGAGCACTAACCAGCTTATTTAATTTGGAAGCCAATACAGCCCTGTGACCAAGTGCTGGCCTTTAAAACGTGTTGATAACAAGACATCAGAAAACATGTCGATTGGCACATGGAAGAAAAGAGTATGACCACCACACCTGACAGAGAAATTAGAGTTTCAAGGCACTTTACTCTCCATGCTCTTGCTTTCTTCCTTCCCAGCCAACCACGCTGGGCAACTCTTCGTCCCCCAAACGTGGCTTTGGAGCCTGTGAGATGCCACGTTCACAGCAAGGAGGAGAGAAGTACAGAAATCTATAGCGCAGAAGTGTGCAATAAGAGGAGAGAAGACAGGGGAGTCTGAGGGGTTGGAACTTCAGCCGCTAGCAAGACGGGAAAACAGATTATTGCCTCTCAGAATTTGATCATTAGGGGGGAAAGGAGAAAAAAAAAGAAGCAGTTTTATGTTTGTGCCTGGTGGTGAAGGAGGAAAGGGCGACCTGAGGAGGTGGTCTATCAGTAGCCAAGCATTCGAGACAGAGGTGACATTTTATGGTCAAGGCAGACGTTAGCTCTCCCTCCTTGGCCGATCAGATGAGGAAAACATCCTGCACTGTGTCCGGAGGGAGGGAGGGAGGGAGCCGCAGCCGGGGAGGTCTCACCCGAGCTGGGCCAGGCGGGCAGCCGGGAGCAGCGACCCGCGCCAGGAGAGACTGCTGAGAGCATCTGGATCTAAGGCACGGCTGTTTGGGGAGAAGGTACCACGCGGCCACCAGCGGTTGGTGGATGGGGAAAGGATCCTGATCAGCTTTTTCCCTTCCCTAACCATGGCCTACGGTTACAGTTTTAGTAGGAAACAAACAAATCTAGAGCATTTTACACTCGTGTATAAGAAACAGGGGGAAATGGAAAATCTGAAGCGATTCATGTCAGTGCTTTTCTCAGTATTGCGAAAGAAAAGATGAACAAAATCAGCAGGGATTTCACAGCAGCATGCAATTTCAAGAAGCAGAATTGCAGTCAGTTTTGCCTAATCCTTACCATGCAAGAAAATCCAGGCTGTTACATCAGTACGCAAAGATTAGCAACTGCCGTTTGCTCCAATTGCAGCTGTCAGCTCTGTCAAATGAGGGGCGAGTCCTCACCCCCCGTCACAGCCACCCCGCACGCGCCCTCAGCTCCTCTTCCACCTGCATCCGTTCCCCCTGACGAAATGCCAGGGTTTATACAGACCTGAGGCCGGAGGTAATGGCCAAGACAGCTTTATTTATGATCGTGGAGAACCACAACAAAAAGTGGAGTAAAAAAAAAAACACAAACCTGTATTAGGATATTTGAAGGAGCTTTTTCTAACTGTATGCACAAAAGAATCTATTACACAGCACAGTCGTCTTATTCCTACAGAAAATGAATCCTTGTGAGCACTAGTGACTGGGGCTTTTTGCTGCAGATGAATTAGGTACCAACACCTATGTTACTTATGCCTGATACCTATTTTCTCTTATAAGATTTTCAGATATTTTTGTCTTCGAGAAACTTTGCCGATTTTAAGTGATGCAAGCCGTGAAGCCTGGTACAAGCCATATTGTTTTGGAATATCAGTTATTACAACTTAACCATTTGCAAGAATGAGGAAAAGGGACTTTTTTTTTTCCCCTCCACCCTAGAATATCCTGTTGACCTTTTGTTTGGCAAATTCCTTTTAAACACCAGCCTGAAATCTAGCTGAAAAGTAGCCACTGCGTTGGAGATGTGGTTTTTCCTCTTTCTGTGAGAATCAGCCAAATATTTGGCCAATTTATAAATCTTAAAAAACTCAAAATGCATAAAAGTCCCCACAGACTAAAGATGGAGAAATAGTTTATGATCATGTCACTGAAAACAGGGCAGCATAATCAAAAGGATTAAGGCTCTATGCTCTATCTAGCACTTCCTAAAATTTAAGCTTTTGACATCTGTCGTGGTTTAACCCCAGCTGGCAACTCAGCACCGGGCGGCCGCTCGCTCACTCCTCCCCCCTCCCAGTGGGATGGAAAGGGGAATTGGGGAAAAAAAACAAAACAAAACAAAAAAAAAAAAAAAAAACACCACCACCCACACACACCAGAGACTGTGGAGTCTGCAGTCCCACCCGGAGCTGCTGCCTATGGCAGGACCTCTCCTCACGCATTTCTCCTCCGATCCTTCACCCTTCTCAGAAGGGTCGGAACTGGCCTGAATCTTCCTGGCCTGCTCTCACGATGCTGCTGTTAAAGGCAGATGAGAAGATCTTTTTTTTTTTTTTTCCCCCAACCTCAGTGAAAATTACATCATTACTTCTCCCTAATGGGAGATTTGATTAGAAAGGAGCGGTTGGAAAAGTCACCGTGTTCCTCTCTGGCGTCACGGGCTGCTCAGCGTGGGCACGATTTCAGTGTTGGCCTCGATAACAAAATTATAGCGAGCTTCTTACACGCGAGCAGCGGGGCTAACACGATGTCCTGCAGCCGTGGGAAGCCTGCCTGCTTTCTCCACGGAGGAATTACTTCCTCTGCCCTCTGAAATTTCCAGTCTTTCATTTCCTTCATTGACCTACTCCTGTGGTATTTTGTGGAACTGGATGAGATAGGCACAAGCGATTATTTTTATTATAAAATTAGGGGGGAAAAAAAAAAAAAAAGTACTAATGCTGAGCTTCACGTTTCCTGTTGCAGACTAAGCAATGATCTTAAGGGCAAAATAATTTGGCCAGCAGTATGTTTAGAACAAGATCTGTTGCCAGGCAGTGTGTGTATATATTCACACATTTATATAGATGAGCAGCAAGTTCAGAACAGGGCGTATTTAATACCCGCGCGTGCCCTGCACTGCTGGCAGGACAGGACGGGAATAAGCTGGGGCTGGGGAGTGTGTGCAGAGTCACTTCTCTGATCCGACCTACACGCTGCCGCGGGGCCCTGGCTCTTCAGACTGACCCCGCTGCTCCGTCCCTGCCGCTCGCTGCCTCATCTGAGCCTTTAAACCTTCCCAAAGCACCAGAATCCGATGCTATAACCGCAGCGGTGTCTCCAGCGTGGGACCAGCCTGAGCGGCAGTTCAGCGTTCAGGTAAAGCACGCAAAAGAGAAGTACAATTTGCTGTTTCCCAAAGTCTGAAAGCTTCCTTCAGACGCTCTGCAAGGGTGATGACCCCAGGGTCAGGTCGGCTTTCGGGCTACAGAACAGGGAAAGTGCTCGATTCTGCCCAGGGCGCTGGGCTCTGGCCCGTGGAGCCCGAGAGCTCTCTGGCTGGCTTTGCCCGGGCACGGAGAGCCCTTCTCTCTCCCGCAGGGAGCAAGCTGCAGTGGAGCACGGCCGTCTCCATGGTGGTGTTCGCGTGGCTGTTCGCTGCCTTCTGGGCTCTGATGCCCTTACTGGGCTGGGGGGAATACGACTACGAGCCCCTGCGGACCTGCTGCACCCTGGACTACAGCAAAGGGGACAGGTGAGGGGGGGCAGCACCCAAGGGAGGGGGTGGAGGCTGCTGCGCCCTGGGGTGGCCTCGGCAGCGCACCCACAGCTGTCCCCGTCCTCGCTGGGCAGATCCGCTGCCCAGCGTCCGGGGCGAGGGACGCGCAGCCCAGGCGGCCTCGGCTCCACGGCGGCACACGGGGACAGCCGTGGTCAGCTTCGTCCACGAGAGAGGCTGGTGCTCTGCCATCCCTCACTCTCCTGTGAGCTGCATCTTTCTGGGCTGAGGACCTGAAACTCTTCCACAAGGGTTTAGTTTGTATGGAGCCCGGCACAGATGTCTGAGCAGGGACGCTTGGGTTTGGAAACAAAATGCCTGCTGTGATTTCCTGCAGCACTATCCATCCCACGCACCACAGCACGGCACAGCCTCACAGGCCTGCAGCAGACACGGCACCTAAAGCATGCTGGCAAAACTCCTTCTGACGGTGTTAAAAATGGAGGTTAATGACTATTTACAGCAAGGTTACAGAGATACCCTAGAGAGGAATTAACAACCTCTTTTTTTTTTTTTCCCCTCCCTCACCCTTTCCAGAAACTATATCACATTCCTTTTTGCTCTGTCCATTTTCAATTTCATGATCCCGGGCTTCATCATGCTGATGGCCTATCAGTCCGTACACCAGAAGTTCAAGAAAAGCGGGCACTATAAGGTAAGAAAGCTTCCTCAATCCCTACAACTGCCTTGCCAGAATAGGGCTGCATCCCATAGAGACAAAGTCCTCAGCCCATGTCTTTCACAGAGCCTTTGGCTCCCCCCTCCTGTGCCACCTCCCCAGCCCGAGCAGGAGGGAAGTGCCACACAGGGTGGGGACACCCAGACCCCCCGTCTGCCTGCTGCAGCCCGCCCTTGTCAAACACACAGAATTTATTGCTCTTGTTTTTCAGTTTAATACTGGTTTACCCTTGAAGACGCTGGTCATTTGCTGGGGTCCCTATTGCCTCTTATGCTTCTACGCAGCAGTTGAAAACGTGATGTTCATCTCCCCAAAATACCGCATGGTATGTCGGTGCCCCTGCGGGGCTCGAGCCGTGACATCTCCTTGCTGCCCTCTCTCCATGCCTATGGCGCGGTCCCAATTCACGCGCAAATGGGTTTACTCGTTATAACATGTATGACAAGTGGATTTTATTTTTTTTTTCCTCAAAGCATTCTGTTCATCTACCACTTCTAAGGCAAACCAGCCAAGCACGGCGAGAGAACAGGCACTGTATTACTGCTCTGATCAAGAAACAATTTAGGAAGTCAGAGGGTTTTTTTCTTCAGCAGTCAGTTAGGGGTCTGTAGCTTGTATTTTTTCATGGTTTGTAGGAGCTTTTTGCATCCTTCCCAGAGTCAAGTCCCAGCTCAGAATTTTCATTTTTGAAGTCACTGTTTGTCTCATTGATTTTTTTCAGTACTCCTCTTTCCTCGGGGAAGCTGCAATTGATCACACTTAAGGTTATGCTGCCTCCTTTCTTCACTTTTTTCCACGTGTCTTGGCTCTGGGACTGCCTCTGGGACTCAGTAATATCGCACCAAACCTTTCAACTTTTATTCAATCCCCAAATTTCAGCCCAGTCTCAGGTCACGGAATGCATTACCGTGCTTAGGGATTCAACATCCCAGATACAACGTGTGAGCAGTAGCAGCCGTTTGTCCGTCAGAGCACACGCACAGCACAGCCCTCACTCCTCCCAAGTGCCTGTATTCACTCTCAGCTCAAATACACCCGTTTCGGGCAATGCTGCCCTAAATTCTTTCCCCGGGAGACTACAATTTCCTGAGCTAGGGCCTCCAACTGACCAGATTGCTTTTACCTCTCATCTCTGTGCGGGTAGCAAGCTACTGCCACTGGGGACAGGCACTGGGCAAACTGAGCCTGGGCTGAAATCAGCCCGTTGGCTCCTCGGTACATTTTCCTACTAATCAATATTGTGTCTCACGACAGATTCCAGCCGTTATTGCCAAGACTGTGCCAACAGTGGATGCTTTTGTGTATGCCCTGGGGAATGAGAACTACAGAGGAGGAATATGGCAGTTCCTCACAGGGCAGAAGGCTGAGAAAGCAGAGGTTGATAACAAAACTAAATAAGCCGTTACAGCATCAAGCGGAATTAATGGAGGCACATCAGTGGCAGGAAAACGCTGGAGGAAACTCTCTGCGTTGTCCGGTATGTGCGTGCAAAGGTGGTTCCACATCGGAAAGGCCACGCATTGGCTACCAGCAAAGAAGAACTGAAAGAACACCCCAGAAACTGCCCAAACCTTCACGAGCTGCTTGTCGGACAAGCTGCCTTAAACCTGTGTTGGTTGTCATCAGTCTCATTTTATATGTCACTGCAAATAAACTATGTGCTGGAAAGCATTATTTTTTTTTTCCCCCGATACATTAACATAAAAGCTCAGCAAATTAACTGAAGCAGGGTATGCATTTATCCAGTGAGGTCTCCTCAAATCAATTTGTGCAGTTTGTCCATATGGTAATGTTTGGATTACTGAAAGATTAAAGGAGTATCCAGCATTACACCACACGGCTGTATAAACAGCTTGTTCATCTGAACAACGCGTTTTCAAGGCACCCAACATGGGGCTTCCCAAATTTCCACCACGAATCTGCCGTCCTAACTCAAAAAAAAAAAACAACCCAAAAACGTTTTAGTGGGCATTTTATCCCAGTAAGGAATATTATCTTGTTCAGATGAATTGGAGTGTGACATTCAGCTTTGTCTCACACTAAACTGCGTCAGATTTTGCAGCTGCTGCTTACCGGAACAACCAACAAGCTCACAGCCCATCACAGAAACATTAATCTTTTTATCGAACACTGAGCAAAGACTAAAGGGAGATGTAGGTCAGATTCTGTACTAAAGATGTCATAAGAATAAAAATTAACTTCACATCTGCCATTAAATTCCACTCTGCTCCACGTGAATGAGAACAATCACCGAATCCATTGTGACTAGAGAGTCTGAGCAGTTAAAAAGCCACTTGTTCCATAATTATCAGAATTCGCGTAGCATTTAAACTATTAGAAATGTCCGGATTTTAAAAGTGTTTGTTTGCTCATGTTGCCCGCAGAATGAAAAACTGTCAGTTGATGTTGCCTGTTACTACAAGACGTGTCTCAGAATGACCCATTTGCAAAAAAAAAAACAAAACAAAACAAAACAAAAAAAACAAACACGTGTGTGACACAGCCTAGGCGAGACTGTGCATACAAAAACCCGGAGCTGATCGATCCTTACAGGGATCCTCCTGGTTCATCTCCAAGCATTGACAGCGAAAGAGCTTTTGAAGCTAACCAAAGAAAAAAAGCTGATCTGGCCCTTGTGATGCTTTCCAACACACTGGAAGGGAAAAGAGTTGCTGTGGGTTCCAGCAGGGTAGATGGAAGGTAACCACTGGGTAGGAGGGGTGTTCCCCTCGTGGCTGAAGGTGGGGAACAGACGTCACTGGGTCACAAGTTAACCAGCAGGATCCCACTCAGAGAAGTGCTCTGGGACCTGGGAGGCTGAACCCAGTCACAAACTACCTGTCAGAGCAGCGATTAACGCCGTGATAAAATTACTCAGAACGATCGCACCTGAAGCTGACGGCTAAGACATCTGAGGTACATACACCATCAAGTGAGCAGACGACAAAACGTTTGCACTGGTAAGTGCAAAATAATGTGTCTGGGCACAAAATTGCCTTTAAGTATGTATCTACAGCGACAGGCTCTGAATCTGTCATTATTATCGAGAGAGAGAGACCTGGGCAGGTCTTGAAATCCTTGGTTCACTGGTCAGCAGGGTCATACCGACACATCCCAGCAGAACACTAAAAAACCACTAAAAAAGGAACAGGAAACACAGGCTACACGCGGTCACACCACTTGAACGCCACTGTGCTCAGACTCACTGGATCGGGTGCATGGTTCGGGCCATTCCGACTCACAGGGGACACAGGCAGGCTAGAAGAGGGGCACAGGGATGAGCAAACATAAGGAGCAGCTGGAGACCACAGGGGTGACATGGAGGAGAGGGCGTAAGCGAAGAGGCAACCGAAGCACTTGAACAAACTGGGTGGAATTAAACACCTCAGTTCTGGTTCATAACGCCTCGGCTGCTGACTTCCCACCAAAGAGTGGAGGAAATGAGGTTGCTCATGGCTCGTTTATTGGATCGTGGATAATCACTCTCTCTACAAAAAAAAAAAAAAAAAAAAAAAAAAAAAAAAAAAAAAAAAAAAAAAAAGACACCAGGAACAGGTCACCAAGGAAAAAATCCTCTTCTAGCTCTAACTAGCTCTCACCACTAATTTATCCACATGAAGAGGAGCTGGCTGACAAGCACGGACAAGCGGGCTGTGTTTCTTTCTGAAAAATGTTTGGGGCCAAGCGCAGTGCATCCGGAAGCCCAGCCCGTGCTGCCAGTTAATGACGCAGTCAGTCTGTAGGGAGTCAGCCTTCACCACAAGGGCGCTGGCCCCGTGCCCCCGGCACTGCTGATATCTGGCGCTGTCCTGATGAAGCCTGTCACCACACGGTGCCATGCCTTGAGTAGGTTACGCTGAAGCATGCAAAAATCCCACCACGTGTTCACACTCTGGGGAATCCCACATGGCCAAAACCAGGATTTATATTACCCTAACCAAAGCACAGCCCAGGGGATTATACATTATAAAACACTCCCATACAGGTAGTATCTCACCTACTATCAAAAAAAAACCCTGTGAGAGAAAAAAAAAAAAAAAAAAAAAAAAAAAAAAGTGCAACCTTTGGATGCATTCAGCAGCTCGGCTTAAGCTGGAAGAGGAAACCTGAACATCTGTGATTAATACCTGTCCTGTCACTGAAGATAAGAGTGGCACAGCCAACCCCCTTTTAAAAATAATCAGCTGGCACTTCAGGTTAATTCACACCGGCTGTTGCAGCCCTTCATGGGGGAGGATTCGGACAACCGCTCGCAATCAGACTAGAAGAGGAAAGTTCACCCCTCGTTAGGGCTCCTGACCCGATTCCCCACCCAACCACCCCACACGCAGTGACCTGCAGTGTTACAGCCAATATTACCCGTTAATTGCTGTTCTGTACCAATATTACCCCTCTTACAGGCGCTCTCAACCTGCTCATTGCATTCGTTTGGTGTCAGAGTGAATATCGACGCGCTGATGAAAAACAGACTCTGAAGGAGAAACAGAAGTCAATCCTTCCCCCTTATTCCTGGACACAAACAGCGTAATTCCGTCAGGTTTTCTTTCAGCGGACGGAAACGCCTCGCACCTCAAACAGCATCTCTTGCAGTCCGGCCATTCAACACCCACAGCTCCAAATGAAGTTACCGGGTCCTCAATAAACTGCAAATCTTGCCGACTCAGCCTCCCTGCCCAGCGCTCACCCACGGACTGACCCTTTTGTGTCAAATACAATCTGGTTATTGGTTCATCTTGATGCTGGCTGTGGCCTTTAGGCCAGGCCTAATAACTGGCAAAACAGCGGAGCAAACGCTGCGTTTCCCAGAGGGCTCTGCAGCATTTCCTTCACTGCAAAGGTTTCAGCTTCCTTGAAACAGCTAATAAAGAAAAATCTTAATGGAAACAAGGCAGTGGGCTGATTTTCTGAGTGAGCCCCTCGCCTCCAGACCCCTGTTGGGATACTTGGCTCAGGCAGGCCAGTCCCTGAGCCTGGGTTTGGCACATAAGCTCTCCCTCAAAAGTGGGATCCACACACAGTGTAAGGAAAAGCATCTCAAACAGACTATAAATCTGAAACGAGGGCTTTTTTATTTCATAACCTGCCTGCTTGGACTTGGGCACCACATTGAGCCACTCCTCTGCAGCCTGTTTTCAGCAAGGATTCAAAACCTGGGACTAGGCAGCTTGAAGCGCATCTTTTCACATAATGAACAAGAAGTCACTGGCCAAAGGAGATGCCTTTATGCAACAGCACTCACCTGGGAATGGAGGGGTTCCAACACATTTGTCCTTAACCTGCTGGCAGTCAAACACACGTGTCCTCCCACCCAGAACACCCACCAGGCTGTTGCAAAACTCTTCCATTTCCCTACTGACACTGTGCCCTTTGCAGGAAAAAAAAAATTACGTGGTTTTGCCAACTGAAGAAATAGAAAATGGGAACAAGCAATTTGGAATTGATTTGCCTTGACTAGAAGGGAAGAAATTTGGATCATGATGTTCGTCTTCCAGGGCAAGAATGCAAAGGCTCCCGTGTTGCTAATGGATGGTTGAATTTCTCTGAGATAACTTGTGAGGATGAGTGGGATATGACAGATTACACCTCCCAGGGAATTAGCACAGAATATATTCTATGGACTAAAAACTAAGCTACTGCCAGATCTTAAAACACAGTTGGTAGGCAGATGTTACTGATTGGGGCCATTTTTAAGCCGGAGACACTTTTCCCTGATCCAGTGTTGTTTGCTTCTCTGTGCCATAGTCGCATGTTTAGGTGACATAAAAATCCGTGAAGCAGTAACCGAGAGATAGATGAGTTATTACAGGATTACCTGAGCCAACGGGATAAATGGTTGCAACCTGACAAAATGTGTTTTGGTAAGACCAAGTGTTTGAGATCCAAGAACGGCAGTTGCTTCCATTTACATGATGGAAGGCTGCTCTGAAAAACAGAGCCCAGAAAAGGATTTAGGGGTCATTATAGATAATCGCCTCAGTGTAAGCTGTCTGGGCAACGCTGTGGCAAAAAGGACTAATTAGATTCTTGAGTATAGGGGGGGAAAAATAAAAAAAAAAAAGAGTATGAAACAGAAATAATGAAGGATTCCAGCAACTCTGGGCAGCACTGCCAAGACCCCTACTAGGTTACTGAATCCTGTCCTGGCGTCTGCATTTTAAGGAGGATTTGAAGACATTGGACAGAGTTCAAGTGAGTGTCACAAATGAATTCTCTGGCTTTAACAAGAAAAGTCCAAGCCTTCCGGCGCAATGGGTAAGGAGCTCAACATATTCAGCTCGCTGGAGAGAAAGCACAGACGTACCTTCATCACACCACGGAGGTAATTGCGCTGGGGGAAGATACACGTGAGGAGCTTTCCAATGTGGCTGACAGAGATCCCATGAATAAAAGTTGAAGCTAGATAAATTCAACCTTGAAATAAGGGAAAATTTCCCAGTGGTAATGAAAGACAGAAACCGCTTATCGGGGAACTAGCGAAACCACGGTTACTCGCAGCCTTTTAGACAAAGACAGCAGCTCTGACCACACACCTTTGTCCTGGTTCCCGACTGGATGATTCTGGTTGCCCTCGCGAGCTCTGTGAGCTGTGAGCCCTTGGTTGCCCCATGCACCCCGTCATCTCCCCCGCCCTCGGTGAACGGGACTGCCTCCGCAGGACTCAGCGCGCTTGC